AGACAGAGAAAAGAATGAGAGAGAGGTTGAATATAAACCTGATAAAATGACGGCATCCATGATACCTCATCAGCTCCGACTCTGTTGAGGACACTGAGGTAAAAACCATATCCATTTATGTTAAAAGCACTTTAACCCCATTAGTAATAATGTCTCTATTGTTTGCATTACAGTAGTGCCTAGGAATGTAGCAATCACCAGACTGGATCAGACCTGAGATCCACCTAGCTCAGCGTCCTGTCTCTGACAGCCACTAGTCGCAGATGCTTCAGAGAACAGTGCAAGAACCCCAAAGGCAAATATGGGATAATCTTCCCTCCACAGTAGGTCTCCTCCTGGTCTCTAAGGGTAGTATGTCAGCAGGGTAGCCGGGGTGTGACTGCAGCTTGTGTTAGCTTTAGCTTTAATCTAGCTCGCTCAGGTACCAGAGCAGTGGAACTGTGGCAGCCCAGGCTTCAGCCCAGGCTGTACAAGCTCACCTGCTTTAAATCTAGCTAGCTTGGGTAGTGGGAGCCATAAAGCCAGCTCAGGTATGTCTACTCAAACTTCAGTCGTACTCCATGACTCATTAGAAATTGGCTTAAGCCCAGAAACATGAGATTTAATAACACCTTTTTCAGTATCCATCCTAACTCAGGGATCAGGGCCCCATTGTGCTAAGTACTGTACACACACGCACATGACATTACAGATGTATTCCATAGCCATGGATCAGCTGCAGAATTCATGCCACAGATGACGCTTCTCAAAGCAATATTGACTTCCACCTCCAAAAGAAGGGGGCATTGCTGCAATCAGGGAAGTTGCCAGGAACAAGGGCAGTCTAGGAAAGCAGGGATATGCTCAGCTCTTCCAAAATTCATGGCACGGCTGTCCAGGAGTTCCCAGATGTTCATGCTGCATGTGGTGAGAAGACCACGTCCTCTGCCCTTTCTTTGCCTCTTCTAACCCCTCCCACAAGCAGAGGGTAAAGTGGTAGGGCCCTTTTCTGTATAGGCTTGTTTACCTCCCTGAACACTGTAGTATCTGAGCACCTTCCAGTAGCGCAGCACATTAATGCATAACATCTGTCACATGCGGCTTGTTCTCGTTCTCTCTCCCACCCAGGTGACAATTGGGCATGCAGCAGAAGGTTTGGGTAGGGTTTGGGGGTTAATGTATACACTGCTCTGTGTTTATGTTACAGAAGGGAGGTCACCTTGCACTTGAAGTGGAAGGCAGTGAGGTCTGTGGTGGCCCTTAGTTCCTGGAGGAGTTTGTTCCGCAATCTTGGACTGGCCTCTGAAAAAGCTCTGTCTCCTGCACAGATGAGGTTTACTCTTATGGACTTCCATGGGATGAAATAAGCAGAAAGTTTGGGGATATTTTTTTCCCTTTCATCCTCTCCTCAGTGGAAGGGGACCACATGGCCTTGTTTATATTTGGGATTAGCCTTGATTCTACAATCAGGGAGCAGACATCAATAACTCACAGAGGTTATGGGCCTATTACAGGAGGGGTTTGAGGTTCTGTAGTCTGCGATGTGCAGGAAGTTAGACTTTAAGGCCAGAAGGGACCATCATGATCATTCAGTCTACAAGCTGAACAGGTGCAATCTCCAAGTGTAGACAAGAAAAGGCATGACTTGCACTGATTGAGTTCACCCTGACTTGAAACAAGGAAAGCTCAACCAGTGCAAGTCATATATTTCCTATAATTTGGGGTTTGCAATGGTGTGTCTACATTGGTTTCTCACCAGTGACGGCTTTATTCTAAGTACAGAAAAGGCCCATGAATCCAGTCCATCCAACTGCCTTAGGGAATTTACATCATGCCAAGAGATGCCAACACTCCTGTGAGGCAGGGCTATTATTCCCATTTTACAGATGGGGCATTGAGGCACAGAGAGACTAAGTGACTTGCCCACTAGTTAGAGTGCTAGTCTGGGATTCAGGAGACCTGGGTTTGATTCCCTGCTTTGCTGCAGACTTCCTGTGTGACCTTGGGCAAGTCACTTAATCTCTATGTGCCTCAGTTCCACATCTGTAAATTGGGAATAACAGCCTTGCCTCATAAGGGGGTTGTGAGGATAAAGACATTGAAGCTTGTGAGGTGCTCAGATACTACGTTGATAGGAGTCATGGAAGTACCATAAAGATTTATCAAACATCAGCTGTGTGTGTAGAAAGGCAAAACAAGGCAGCAGGGTGTGGGAAAGAAAGCGTTTTACAGGGCTTCTTAGTCTGCAGCACGTAAGAAGGAAATTAGCTTGCTCTAAAACTTTGCAGTGATATTTGCAACTGACTTAATAAAGGAATCTGGTAAAATTCAACAAGATAATGTGATTGGCTTCCTGACATCTATACTGTACAGAACAGGGAGATCCAGAAGTGAAGGGGATCTATGTCACTTTTGATTCAGAGAGTCAAAGCAGAGAGCTAACCCACTAGTACAGATATTGCAAAGCAAGGTATGGCCACAACAAGGCATACAGTGTAAATAACATCAGTGCAATATGCACAGGCTCCAGCTTGAGAGAGAAAACTCGAGGGAAGAAAAATGAAAGAATAATTAACACACAAAGAAATTATAATAAAACCTCTGCCTTGGGCATAAGTCTTTCCTATATTGGGGTGTGTGTGTGGGGGGGGAATCAGCGATGTTACTCTCTGGAACCCTGCAGGAGACATAGCAAAATCTTGCACTGTCTACAGGTACAGAGCCACTGTAGAAAATGATATGAAGAAAAGACGAGTATTCTATCCTATTAACCCTGCTTTGCCTTCTGGTCGTTCATTATGACCAAACGAGTGCTGCTCCATTACAGAAGCCATAGTCAATCATTAATTATCCACAACAGCGATCATAGCAACTTACTGAAATGCAGGAGATAGTAAGCAGTGGCTTGTTGCCTTTTGACACTTACCAGGAAGTCCATTCACCTGGAAGCTCAAGAGATCTGTTATATAGTTACAATAACAACAAAATTCACCTTTAGAAATAAAGGACAAGATTTTTGTTTTAAAGTGACTAGTGATTTTGGGTGTTTCAATCTCTGGGCGCCCAATCTGAGACACTTGAAATGGGCCTCAATTTCTGAGCAGTAACCCTCTGGAAATCAGGCCACTTTAAATGCGTCCTTTGCTGGACATTCAATATTGCAAGTCAGTTTTTGAAAATCTTGGCAGAAGATTCCCACTTCGGGGGCCCTCGGGTGGCTCCTTCCCAAAACCTTTTATGGAATTCCTCTTGACACGCCTCTGTATCAAGGTCTGTGGAGAATTTCTCTATCACTGGAGGTTTTACATCAAAATGGAATGATTTAAAGAAGATATGGTCTAATTCAACCACAAGTCATTTGGCTGGATGCAGGAATCACTGGGTGAAATTCTATGGCAGCAGTTTCCAAACTGTGGGTTGAGACACTGAATGGGGTCGCACCATCAGCAGATGGGTTTGCACCAATCCGTAGTGTGCTAAGGACACTATTTTGCTCTGCAAAGCGTGAGCTCGCACGCACGGTGCAGGAAAGGTCACATCACATGGGGGACGCCATATTGCTCTACAAAATGGCATCCTCTGCACAGTGTGACCTCACATGTACAGTGCGTTCAAGGTCACGCTGTGTGGAGGACTCCATATTGCTCTACAAAATGGCATCTCCCAGGCTGCCTGGGGTCCCAGACAGAAATAGTTCATTAAAATAGGGTCATGCTGACAAAAAGTTTGGGAACTGCTGTTATATGACCTATGTTGTGAAGGAGGTTGGATTAGATGATCAAAATGATCCCGTCTTGCCTTGAAAAATCTGAGTCTACAAACCTCACTGAGCTTGTCATTCCCAGTTCCTCATTTTATCTAGCATCAGCCTCCTCTCAGTTCCCTCTTCCAGCCTCACTAGCACAAGTGCAAGAGCCTCTTTGTTTGCCACCTTGTCCTGCCACCTTGAACTCCTCCTGTCTCTCTTCAATTCATCAGCTGCCTGTTTGAAGAGACAGGGGTTAGAGCACTGTGCCTACGTACAGCTTTTGGATTCTGTCTGATTTTACAAAAAAGAAAAGGAGGACTTGTGGCACCTTAGAGACTAACCAATTTATCTGAGCATAAGCTTTCGTGAGCTACAGCTCACTTCATTGAATGCATCCGATGAAGTCAGCTGTAGCTCACGAAAGCTTATGCTCAAATAAATTGGTTAGTCTCTAAAGTGCCACAAGTCCTCCTGTTCTTTTTGCGAATACAGACTAACACGGCTGCTACTCTGAAACCTGTCTGATTTTAGGGACTCTATCTCTCTGTCAGACTGGCAACTCCATTTTGATTGTAAGGCTGGTCTATGCTGTCTTTTTACCTCTGCCTGGGACCAACATCTCGAGTGGTGGCACAGGGCTAACAACAGAGGGTCGTTAAATATTGATGATTGCCCTTTTTGAAGGGAGCACCCCAGGACAAAAAGAGATAACTGCCACATAAGTCAAACCACCAAATCGAATTCAAGTGGGGAAGTATGTAAGCAATGGATCACCTGGTGAGGGCTTTAATAATCAGATAAGGCTGAGTGGGAGTTACCTGACAAAGCGATGGTCTTTCACTGAATATTTTAGAGAGAGAGAAGGGACCAGAGAAACTCCATGATTTGGAGAGAAAGCCATGTGCAAGAGGAGAGAAGGGATCCAGGGCACCCCAGAGGACGCTCCAGAGGACTCTGAGCTAAACCCAGAGAGCGCTCAGGAATGCTCAGGAACCTGAAACTGGGAAATGTGTAGATAAGCCCTTACACGTAGACTATATGACCCTGCCTTCTTCACATGTACAAAAAAAGCAGTGAGCATCATTCTACCCCATCTGCCCTAGAAGCGGAAAGTGGTTTAATAGAAGCTAAGGGGGAATCCGGAGAGCCCTCAACCATTGTCAGCAACAGGCCCTTCTCCTAGTATGGGCTGACAACCCCATGCATTTAAAACACATGCACCCACAGACCACCATTACAGAGACAGACACACATTGTTTGTGGGATTCCATACCAGAGGAAGCAGCACCAGAGTGAAGAAGCAGATCTTCAAGGAGATGGCCATCTTCTCCTAATAGATATTTAGCCAATCTATAGCAACTGAGAGCTGTTCTTGTGGCTCAAGCACACACCATCTGCCGATCCCAGTGTCACGGTCTTCAAGACTCAGCTCAGGTCTCTGCAACGAAACAGTATGAGAATTATAATAATGAGAAATAAGAAGGAGAGTTGCAGGAAAGAGGAACAGGGGTTACAATACCTAGATTGTGAGCTGTGTAGGTGAAGGGCCAACATCTTGTTATTTATGTGTACAGCTCCTGATCCTTGATTGGGGGGTGGGGGAAATGGACATTATTGTGCTATCAATAATTTGGAACAAAGGCACTACTGAAACAATGTAAATGATAAAAGCTAAACACATCCAAAGAAAAGTAAAGTAAAGGGACTGAATGTAACAACTGGTACAAGGTCAGGGATTGAAGGGGCATGAACACTGAACTACCCAAGGATTGGACTGAGTCCCTTGATGGGTGTGCAGGGGAACTTTCACTTCTTGGGCTGAATCAAGGGGCTAGACCCTTAGCTGGTGATGGTTTCACTGGAGCTATGTCAATTGAGAACAGCTGGGAATCTAGCCCTAGTTCTCTGGAGATATACAGAAGACACAATTTCCCTGGGCCCTCAGTTTGGCATACCGGTCAGCAACATGACCAAAAAAAAGAGGAAGAAAAGGGAAAACCTAACAGAGGGATCAAAGGTAACACAGAAACGCTATACGTGAGGGGAGAAAAAAGTAAAGAGAATTCAAAAATGAATACCAGAATCGTACATGTTGTGGGGGAAAAACAATAGTTATTCTTACAAAAGAAAAAAGATGCAGAAAAAGTGAGGGCTAAGTCTAGTAAAAGGATAAATAAAAGGAAGACGGGGAGGGAAATGGGTTGCAAGCAACAAGATAAATAAATAAAGATAAATATGAAATAACTCTCCAATCGAGGGCTGTTCAATATTCCTTCCAATTTCAACCTTGACTGCAGCTTGCTGGCACGATATTAGCATTTGGGAAGCCGAGAGCCTTTCATTTAAAAAAAAAACAAAAAACACCCTCTCCTTCTACATTAGTCATCTCAGTCCAGGCCTCAACTAAATAGAGGAGAAAATGATTCACAAAAACCTCTCCATACTCACCCTCCTCCCTTTCTTCCCTCGCTCGCCGCTCAGGTACTGAATTTAATTACTTCTCCACTGTCTTCCTGATGTTTTATCAAATAATGAGAGAGAGAGAGATAAGATCTCAGCCGAGGAGGACAGAAAAAGTCCATCCTGACATTTAGCGGTGAGGAGGTGGGAAATAAGAGTCACACCATTAAAAAGAGCCTGTGTACATGGGAGCCAGGCGGAGGCAACAGCTCAGACTGGCTTTCAGATTGTTAGCTGGTAACTGGCTCTCCTATTGGCAGCCTTGGCAAAGAAGCCCAGAGAGGGGTATGGAGACTGATCTCTACCTTCTTACTGCAAGACATGAGGGATATTGGGAGGAAAGTGTGGGAGAAGATTGAAGAGCTACTGCTGACTTACTGTCCTGCATGGCATTTAGTTACCATGGTAATGCATGCATTAGAAATATGCTAGTTACAGGATGGATGCTCTGTGTTAAAATAATGGCCCTCAGGACTCTATTATTGCAATTATTTTAAAGAGATGACGGACCAACACTGATAGAGGCTGGAATCCTCTATGTAGCTCCACAACATGTTTCTCACAGAGAGTGGAAAATTTCCCTACAGCCCTATGTTAGGAGTGTTTGTTCTCTGTTCCCCTGCGTTCCTTGGCCCCTCTGTAGAGAAGGCCAACAAAGTGGCTAGGTTTTTGTGCAAGTGAGAAATGGAAACCTGCCTACTACAAACTGGATCGAGACTTCCAAATCTAGTCACCTAGGCATTAGACAAGGACAACTTTCAAGTTTCTCATGACCCAGGGCCCCGATTCCGCAACTGAATCCACATGGTTGGATGCTCGCACGTGTTAAATTCAATAAGAATTCATGGGATAGCCAGCGTCCATCCACGCAAAATTCCCCCTGGCTGATGTAGAGTTAAGAGCAATCTAGAGTCATGGGCTGCTTATGCCCCCATGCAACTCTAAACCATCCATTCACCCTGCTCTCCAGAGTTCCAAACCCATCAGCTTTACGCAGCACTTAAGAAAACAGAACAGCCCCCGGTGAACCTAAGACACCCCCATTACCTGGCTTTAAAAACAAAAAAAAACCCAAAAAAACCCAACATGATTTCTCAGAATTCCTTCAACCAGATTTTGAAACCAATCCTCTTGCCATGTCTCCAACCCCACCCCCACCCCACACGCCTAGCGCAGGGCTGAAATTTTTCGGGCAAAACTGTTTTTCCACTGAAAATGCAAACCCCGTGTTGACAGAAATACTCTGCAAATTGGTATAAAATTCATCCAGTTGTTTTGATGCAAAAAATCCATAATTTTTTCCCCAGAACAATTGACATATTTCGTTTTGACTTTTTCAAGAATGACTTTTTTTTTTACTTTGTTTTAATTCACAACGATTTTTTCCCCCAAAATTTTCTTCAGCTTTAATTATTTAGTTTTAAAGGTTAACGCTCTAAAGCAAAACGAAATGTTTTGTTTCGGGTTAAACGAAATATTTTGTTCAGCGACCTGAAACAATGGGGGGTCTTTGATTTTTTTGTTACAGCCAGTGAGCCAAAAAAAAAAATCTGTTATTTGCACATCTCTACACATGCCCATTTTCCAGCTTTATTTAATTGTCCGTTTTCCCCCCCGCCTTTGACTTTTATTGATTGATTTTTTAACACGCGGTAGGAGTCTACAACAAGGCAAGCAGAAAATCTGCACAGCAGTCACTCTTTGTAAAGGCCTCCGGTCTGAAACACCGATTAATGGCTAGAACTGATCTCTGCTCACTTTTCTTCCAAAGGGAACCCATGGTAGAAAGGAAAACAACATAGAAGCACATGCTTAAATTAATCTCCAGAAGACACTCAACTCAAACTTTTCCATAATGCATGCTCCATTTATAAGAGAAATGGATGTTTTCATTTCCCATCTTGGAAATATTTACTGAGCATCTCTATTTAAAAAATGAGAAACCAATATGATTCAAGGAGGGACATCTGGAAAACAATCATGGAGAAAAATGTAGGGATGACAGTGATACCATAACTATAATGACCAGGATCAGCATTTAGACTGGCACTCAGATATTACGGTGATGGGCAACCTCATCGATACATAGAAATCCATTTATCTACCTTAAGGTTTTCAAATGACACCCCTCAAGATAGTACCTAATGGACCGTTCATGTAAAATCCAGAGAAATAGTGAAGACCATAGTGGATATTATGGAGTGTCTGGAACTTCTCCCTTTACAGGGTCAGAACTCTGCTTAGGGTAGGGTGTGGGGGTTTTGTTTTATTTAAATGATTTTATGAGCAGTAGAAGGGGTGTCAGTGTTGTGAGTGTCATTTATAGGGTGCAAAAAGAAAAGGAGTACTTGTGGCACCTTAGAGACTAACAAATTTATTTGAGCATAAGCTTTCATGAGCTACAGCTCACTTCATCGGATGCATTCAGTGGAAAATACAGTGGGGAGATTTATATACACAGAGAACATGAAACAATGGGTGTTACCATACACACTGTAACCAGAGTGATCACTTAAGATGAGCTAATACCAGCAGGAGAGCGGGGGAGGGGGGGGGAGAAAACCTTTTGTAGTGATAATCAAGGTGGGCCATTTCCAGCAGTTGACAAGAACATCTGAAGAACAGTGGCCGGGGGGGGGGGGGGGGGGAGGGGAGATAAACATGGGGAAATAGTTTTACCCATCCACTCCCAGTCTCTATTCAAGCCTAAGTTAATTGTATCCAGTTTGCAAATTAATTCCAATTCAGAAGTCTCTCCTTGGAGTCTGTTTTTGAAGTTTTTTTGTTGAAGAACTGTCACTTTTAGGTCTCTAATCGAGTGACCAGAGAGATTGAAGTGTTCTCCAACTGGTTTTTGAATGTTATAATTCTTGACGTCTGATTTGTGTCCATTTATTCTTTTACATAGAGACTGTCCAGTTTGACCAATGTACATGGCAGAGGGGCATTGCTGGCACATGATGACATATATCACATTGGTGGATGTGCAGGTCAACGAGCCTCTGATAGCGTGGCTGATGTTATTAGGCCCTGTGATGGTGTCCCCTGAATAGATATGTGGACACAGTTGGCAACGGGCTTTGTTGCAAGGATAGGTTCCTGGGTTAGTGGTTCTGTTGTGTGGTATGCCCTTCCAACCGTGTGATTCTGTGATTGGTATGATTGTGATTGGTATGTGGTTGCTGGTGAGTATTTGCTTCAGGTTGGGGGGCTGTCTGTAGGCAAGGACTGGCCTGTCTCCCAAGATTTGTGAGAGTGATGAGTCATCCTTCAGGATAGATTGTAGATCCTTGATGATGCGTTGGAGAGGTTTTAGTTGGGGGCTGAAGGTGATGGCTAGTGGCATTCTGTTATTTTCTTTCTTGGGACTGTCCTGGAGTAGGTGACTTCTGGGAACTCTTCTGGCTCTATCAATCTGATTCTTCACTTCAGCAGGTGGGTACTGTAGTTGTAAGAATGCTTGATAGAGATCTTGTAGGTGTTTGTCTCTGTCTGAGGGGTTGGAGCAAATGCGGTTGTATCGTAGAGCTTGGCTGTAAACAATGGATCGTGTGGTGTGACCTGGGTGAAAGCTGGAGGCATGCAGGTAGGAATAGCGGTCAGTAGGTTTCCGGTATAGGGTGGTGTTTATGTGACCATGGCTTATTAGCACCCTAGTGTCCAGGAAGTGGATCTCTTGTGCGGACTGGTCCAGGCTGAGGTTGGTGGTAAGATGTAAATTGTTGAAATCATGGTGGAATTCCTCAAGGGCTTCTTTTCCATGGGTCCAGATGATGAAGATGTCATCAATGTAGCGCAAGTAGCGTAGGGGCTTTAGGGGCCAAGAGCTGAGGAAGCGTTGTTCTAAGTCAGCCATAAAAATGTTGGCATGCTGTGGGACCATGCGGGTACCCATAGCAGTGCCGCTGATTTGAAGGTATACATTGTCCCCAAATGTGAAATAGTTATGGGTGAGGACAAAGTCACAAAGTTCAGCCA